ATCTGAGATAACAAGGTGTAGAGCTGGATGAACACAGCAGGCCAAGCAGCATCAGAGGGACAGAAAGGCTGACGTGTCAGGACTAGACCCTTCTTCAGAAATGGGGGAGGGGAAGGGGGTTCTGAAATAAATAGGGAGAGAGGGGGAGGCGGATACAAGATGGATAGAGGAGACAGATAGGTCAAAGAGGTGGGGATGGAGCCAGTAAAGGTGAGTGTAGGTGGGGAGGTAGGGAGGAGATAGGTCAGTCCAGGGAGGACAGACAGATCAAGGGAGCAGGATGATGTTAGTAGGTAGGAGATGGGGGTGGGGCTTGAGGTGGGAGGAAGGACAGGTTAGGGAGGCGGGGACGAGCTGGGCTGGTTTTGGGATGCGGTAGGGGGAGGGGAGATTTTGAAGCTTGTGAAATCCACATTGATACCATTGGGCTGCAGGGTTCCCAAGTGGTATAGGAGCTGCTGTTCCTGCAACCTTCGGGTAGCATCGTTGTGGCACTGCAGGAGGCCCAGGATGGACATGTTGTCTGAGGAATGGGAGGGCGAGTTGAAATGGTTCGCGACTGGGAGGTGCAGTTGTTTAGTGCGAACCGAGCGCAGGTGTTCCGCAAAGCAGTCCCCAAGCCTCTGCTTGGTTTCCCCGATGTAGAGGAGGCCACAACAGGAACAGCGGATGCAGTTTACCACATTAGCAGATGTGCAGGTCAACATCTGCTTGATGTGGAAAGTCTTCTTGTCGCCAGGGATGGGGGTGTGGGGGGAGGTGTAGGAGCAGGTGTAGCACTTCCTGCAGTTGCAGGGAAAGTGCCCGGTGTGGTGGGGCTGGAGGGGAGTGTGGAGCGGACAAGGGAGTCACGGAGAGAGTGGTCCCTCCGGAAAGCAGATAAGGGTGGGGAGGGAAAGATGTCTTTGGTGGTGGGGTCGGATTGCAGATGGCGGAAGTGTCAGAGGATGATGCGTTGGATCCGGAGGTTGGTGGGGTGGTACGTGAGGACGAGGGGGATTCTGTTTTGGTTGTTATTGCAGGGAGGGAGTGTGAGGGATGAGTTGCGGGAAATGCAGGAGACACGGTCGAGGGCATTCTCGACCCCTGGGGGGGGGGCGGGGGAGGCGGTGGAGTTCTGGTCCTTGAAAAACAAGGACATCTGAGATGTACGGGAGTGGAATGCCTCATTCTGGGAGCAGATGTGGCGGAGGCGAAGGAAATGGGAATAGAGGATGGCATTTTTGCAGGAAGGTGGGTGGGAGGAGGTGTATTCTTGGTAGCTGTGGGTGTCGGTGGACTTGAAATGGATATCGGTTTCGAGGTGGTTGCCAGAGATGGAGACAGAGGTCCAGGAAGGAGACAGAGGACAGAGGTATTAGAGATGGTCCAGGTGAACTTAAGGTTGGGGTGGAAGGTGTTGGTGAAGTGGATGAACTGTTCGAGCTCCTCGTGGGAGCACGAGGTGGCGCTGATACAGTCATCAATGTAACGGAGGAAGAGGTGGGGTTTAGGGCCAGTGTAGGTACGAGCTTGGGCCCATGCAGGTACCCATGGCCACCCCCTTTGTCTGTAGGAAGTGGAGGAATTGAAAGAGAAGTTGTTGAGGGTGAGGACGAGTTTGGCTAAGCGGATGAGGGTGTCAGTGGAGGGGGACTGGTCGGGACTGCGGGGCAGGAAGAAGCGGAGGGCCTTTAGGCCATCTGTATGGGGAATGCAGGTGTATAGGGACTGGACGTCCATGGTAAAGATGAGGTGTTGGGGACCGGGGAATTGGAAGTTCTGGAGGAGGTGGAGGGCGTGGGTGGTGTCATGGACGTAGGTAGGGAGTTCCTGGACCAAGGGGGAGAAAATGGAGTCAAGATAGGTGGAGATAAGTTCGGTGGGGCAGGAGCAGGCAGTGACAATGGGTCGACCAGGGCAGTCAGGTTTGTGGATTTTGGGAAGGAGATAGAAGCGGGCGGTGCGGGGTTGGGGAATGATGAGGTTGGAGGCTGTGGGTGGGAGGTCACGTGAGGCGATGAGGTTGTGGATGGTTTGGGAGATGATGGTTTGGTGGTCGGGGGTGGGGTCATGATCAAGGGGGCACCACACCGCCCGCTTCTATCTCCTTCCCAAAATCCACAAACCTGACTGCCCTGGTCGACCCATTGTCTCCGCCTGCTCCTGCCCCACCGAACTTATCTCCACCTATCTCGACTCCATTTTCTCCCCCTTGGTCCAGGAACTCCCTACCTACGTCCATGACACCACCCACGCCTTCCACCTCCTCCAGAACTTCCAATTCCCCAGTCCCCAACACCTCATCTTTACCATAGACGTCCAGTCCCTATACACCTGCATTCCCCATACAGATGGCCTAAAGGCCCTCCGCTTCTTCCTGTCCCGCAGGCCCGACCAGTCCCCCTCCACTGACACCCTCATCCGCTTAGCCAAACTCGTCCTCACCCTCAACAACTCTTTCAATTCCTCCCGCTTCCTACAGACAAAGGGGGTGGCCATGGGTATGCGCATGGGCCCAAGCTATGCCTGCCTCTTTTATAGGTTACGTGGAACAATCCCTCTTCTGTTCCTACACTGGCCCTAAACCCCACCTCTTCCTCTGTTACATTTATGACTGTATCGTTGCCGCCTCGTGCTCCCACAAGGAGCTCGAACAGTTCATCCACTTCACCAACACCTTCCACCCCAACCTTAAGTTCACCTGGACCATCTCTAATACCTCTCTCTCCTTCCTGGACCTCTCTGTCTCCATCTCTGGCAACGACCTAGAAACCGATATCCATTTCAAGCCCACCGACTCCCACAGCTACCTAGAATACACCTCCTCCCACCCACCTTCCTGCAAAAATGGCATCCCCTATTCCCAATTCCTTCGCCTCCGCCACATCTACTCCCAGGATGAGGCATTCCACTCCCGTACATCTCAGATGTCCTCGTTTTTCAAGGACCGGAACATCCCCCCCACCTCAGTGGTCGAGAACGTGTCTCCCGCTTTTCCCGCAACTCATCCCTCACACCCCCTCCCCGCAATAACAACCAAAACAGAATCCCCCTCGTCCTCACGTACCACCCCACCAACCTCCGGATCCAACGCATCATCCTCCGACACTTCCACCATCTGCAATCCAACCCCACCACCAAAGACATTTTTCCCTCCCCACCCTTATCTGCTTTCCCGAGGGACCACTCTCTCCGTGACTCCCTTGTCTGCTCCACACTCCCCTCCAGCCCCACCACACCAGGCACTTTTCCCTGCAACCGCAGGAAGTGCTACACCTGCCCCTACACCCCCATCCCAGGCCCCAAGACTTTCCACATCAAGCAGATGTTCACCTGCACATCTGCTAATGTGGTATACTGCATCCGCTGTTCCTGTTGTGGCCTCCTCTACATCGAGGCTTGGGGACCGCTTTGCAGAACACCTACGCTCGGTTCGCACTAAACAACTGCACCTCCCAGTCGCGAACCATTTCAACTTCCCCTCCCATTCCTCAGACGACATGTCCATCCTGAGCCTCCTGCAGTGCCACAATGATGCTACCCGAAGGTTGCAGGAACAGCAACTCATACTCCACTTGGGAACCCTGCAGCCCAATGGTATCAATGTGGATTTCACAAGCTTCAAAATCTCCCCTCCCCCTACCGCATCCCAAAACCAGCCCAACTCGTCCCCGCCTCCCTAACCTGTCCTTCCTCCCACCTATCCCCTCCCCTACCTACTAACCTCATCCCACCCCCTTGACCTGTCCGTCCTCCCTGGACTGACCTATCTCCTCCCTACCACCCCACCTACACTTACCTTTACTGGCTCCAGTCTCGCCTCTTTGACCTGTCTGTCTCCTCTCCACCTACCTTCTCCTCTATCCATCTTCTTTCCGCCTCCCCCTCTCTCCCTATTTATTTCAGAACCTCTTTCCCCTCCCCCATTTCTGAAGAAGGGTCTAGGCCTGAAACGTCAGCCTTCCTGCTCGGCCTGCTGTGTTCATCCAGCTCTACACCTTGTTATCTCAGATTCTCCAGCATTTGCAGTTCCTGCTATCTCTGAAACATGAATCATGCTAGTTTTATTACTTCGCCATGAATTTGACAGTCACAAAATAAAGCTAAAAGGGTACATTCTTATTAATCAAGTGGTGCACTCCCAAATTGTGGCAGCATTATTTTAAAATGCTCTCATTACCTGATAACTTTTTGCATCTCAATAAAATTTTTCCCAATTCTTGTTTTAATTTCTTAAAATGTCAAGTCACTTTTTCTCATTTTGCATCGTGTCACACACTTACACTGCTTCTCATTTTCTGACAAGTAGCATCAAGTTCGCTGTTCACAAGGGCCAACTCAATCTCTCGGACACAAGGCTTTTGTTTTGTTTGCTACCCCAACTCCCTCACCTTCTACTAACCAATTAATCTTTAAAATCACTTATTTTAAACAGTTGAAATGAAAAGCTAAAAATTCTGGAAATACTCAGCTATTCAGCCAGCACCTGTGAAGAAAAATCAGAATAACTATTCAAGTTGATGGCCTTGTCAGGTCTGGAAAGTTAGAAAACTCTACTTTCCACTCCACTGATGCTGCCTGACTGCTGAGTAATTCCATCATTTGTAGTGCATACTTTTAAATTTAGAATACCTGTTTCGTAAACAGAATTACATATTTCCAGTGTGATAATTCCGAAATAATCTTAAAACTTGACTAGTCATAAAGAATAACATAAGTGACGGTTTTATCTAGACTCCTTTGTTAACATCTGAAAAGCCTTGGTGAACTGCAAAAAAAACTGGTTAAGAACAACAGTTAGCAAGAACTGTGGATGCTGGAGTCGGAGGAACACTGCAGGCCAGGCAGCAGAGAAGCAGGACAGTTGACGTTTCGGGTCCCGAAACGTCAACTTTCCTGCTCCCGAAACGTCAACTTTCCTGCTCCTCTGATGCTGCCTAGCCTGCAGTGTTCCTCCAGCACCACACGGTGTTGTCTTTGTAGCCAAGAACAAGGGAAGGAATCTTAAAGATACGTACTTCTTTACAGAGCGTAGTTTCACCTTATCGATGTCTTTTAAGACATCTAACATGTTTGGCAGAGTTTGCTGTTTATGATTACATGTGATTTGACTACTGTCAGCTTTCTTTCCTCTTCTTTCTTTGATGAGGTCAATCACAGATTGACTACGTTGGAGAGCAGGTGAGGGTGGTAGAGGTGGGGGAGGTGGTGGAGGCAGCGGTGGAGCAGCACAAGAAGGAATAACACCAGGTGTCACTGAACCAGAAGAATAAAGAAAAACAACAAATTTCAGAATCATTAATATTATAGAGACTTGTTCACAAAAATGCCTTGTTAAATTCTCTTTCACATCTGTGAAATACATTCTCTACATGTTTATTATAAAATATGGTCAAGTATTACAACCCAGTTCCATTTATTAGTTATATGACAAAATTTAATTGCCTTACAAAAAAGCATAGCTTATGAATTCTTTTGTAAAGTAAGTTATTTTAAGCTACTTAGAGGGAAGATGAAGAAAATAAAATGAGAGAGAAGAAAATTGAATCTGGGTAACACGACAGATTGCCTTTTCAGCACTGGACTCCAGGTCCACATACAACTAGTTAGCTGGGGAAAAAAATCCTTTCTACCTTGCAGGCTTCTCACATGAAAATAAAAAATCATTAGTATCAATCTAGTGTCCGCATGACATACCCATAACATAAAATTGCCTAAAAATTCAACATTAATGAGCAATTTTAGTAAATAAGAATATAACCTGTTCACAAAGTGGAAAATATCATAATGGTGCTTTAATAATTACAACTAATATAGGCCCAAACTTTGTTCCAGCAACCCATGAATGGTACCAACTTTTAGTTGCACATGTTCCAAGGCCTGTACAATGTCATTTTTGCCCTGCAGGTTGCTGTAAGTGCCAGATGAAAATGGTGTGACACTATAGAGAGAACGAAATGAACTATTCAGTTTGATGGATTGTACCATATTAACACAAGGTTTGACCGTGAAAGTGCAAATGGGTATACTAAAATCATTGTCAAATCAGGTACAGAAAGAGAAATACAGCCAAGTTGCTAAACTTGCAGATGACAAAGACAAATGGGAAAGTAATTTGCGTAGAAGAAATAAGGAGGCTACAAAGGGATATAGCTAGACAACTAAGTGGGCAAAGTTTTGGCAAGTGATCTTTAATTTGGGAAAATTGTTGCAATTGCTTATTTCGATTGGAAGAATAAAAATGATATCTAAATATTGAGAGACTGCAGAGATGAAATGCTGAGGGAGTACTACTGCAAAAGGATAGATAGCAAAGTTCAATATAAGAATATGAGTGAACAATCCTCAAGTCCTCCCCAACAAAATAACTTGTAACCCCTGAAATTTCAGTATGGTTCTACCCATGGCATGAGTAGGTACACATACATACAAGTGGGTATTGTTTCAAACAGTTAAAATTACAATGATTTAAATGGATACTGTTTTAAAAATAAATATTGTATATTTGCCATACCTGCCAAGGGACTTCTTTGTTCTTGTATAGTTACAATCATGGCAATCTGTTCCCGTAACTTAGCAAGCTCATTCTCCAATATGTTGATTTTTTCCAATGCTGCATCACTGGCCATTGTGGGAGTTGCAGACTCCTTTTTGCAATTTCTTAAATTTGGTAAAGAAGCTTGCCTGCTGATAGGCCTTGGACAAGATGAAGTCTGATGTTTGGGAACTTCACCATCTTCAAGTCGAATTTCTGACCTGTGAACACAAAAAAATTGTGCCAATGCAAGACAGAAATACTGGCAACTTAACTAGAGTTCTTGAAAAGAAAAATTAAACATGGACAAAGTCCCATACAATTAGATGGTCATAAAGCTACTTATTGCTCTACAAGTTCAATACTTGGGCAGCACAGTTCACTAGGCATTTTATAAAATAACCTGTCATATTAAAAGACTCAAATGTTTAAAACATTATTTTCAAAAAGATTACCTTGGGTTTGAGAGATGCAATTTTTATTATATTGCTTATTTGAACAATGCGTATAATGTTTAAGCATATAGCTATGTTTGACTTTTTGTGCTTATATAAATTTGGTAAAATAACTTGAATTTTAGCTATAAAACAAGGTCTTATGTTCTACTGCTTTTGAATTCTGGTGTTACATGTTGAAATTCAAGCCTGCCATTCCGGGAGTTGTTACAGAAGTTACAATGTTTTAAAAAGCATGCAAGCTTCTCCACTTCACCTATATTTAGATTCGTTGATAGCTAGTATGGACCAGGCTTCTATACTTAATAAGAATGATTATTTATTACAAGTAAATAGTATCTAGCTGGATGTAAAGAATTATCTTGCTAGCATATAATTCTATCAGTTAAAAATCTAATCCACTTAACTCTCACAACACAAAAAAAAAGGTTATGGACATAGGGAAAACTGGGAAAATAGTTCATATAATTCATATAATCTGTGGAGGTGGTTCTTGTTCTAATCAAAACTTGGGTCTTCCTTCTTCAGGTGCTTTCACTGGTTTGTAGGAGGCACAGGATGGTTGGTTTATGCTGAAAAAAGGGACTTAGTAAAAGTCACAGCTTACAGCAACTGCTGATGGAAGAATGCACCAGTTTTCTTCAGGCTTAAAGTAGGTTTTACAGGAGAGGATACAGAGTGAGTTTCTGAGCTGATAGCGACTAGATGGCTTTCCTTATCCCGTTAGTTGACTCGAGCTGTTCAGCAATCAGAGAACCAATCACAGTTGTTGGCAGGCAGAAGGCCTTTGTCATCGATATCTGGTCACTAGTCCACAGACCAACCAGCTAATAGTTGCTTTGACGGTAGTTTTGAAGCAGGGCCTTAAATGTGGATAGAGATAGAGACAATGAAGTTTAAAGAGGTAATTCTAGAGCTTTAGGCCTAGACAGCACAAAGCACAACCACCGATGACAAAATGCTTGGAGAAATCAAAGAAGATAGACGTAGAGGAATTCAGAGGTCTTGGAGAGTTGTAGGGCCAAGGACTTTGATGTGATAAATAGTAGCCACACAATGAAGGGATTCGAGGGTAGGGATGAGAATTTAAAATCAGAGTCTTTTGCAGACCAGGAACAAAAGGAAATTAATGAGCACAGCAATGACGAGTACCACCAAGAGAATCAAGGTTACAGCAATAGGTAATACTAGCAGGAGTGCACTGGAATTGGCGAGTCTGGAGGCATTTGCAATTGTCTTATCTTCACAGATCATTTACATTTCTGTTATTGAAACAGTGCTTAAGAAGTTTACATAATAAATGTAAATTAACTGACAATTAAAGATTTTTTTGATGCTACATCTCAGCGTTGTGTCCTATTCAATATGGTGAATATTCACCTAAAGCAGGAAATAGCTCATAAAACCGTTTTATCAATAGAAAGGTGATAAAAAATACCTCATCTTGCTAAATGATTCCCCCTGGTCACACACAATCCAGGCTACATCCGCCAGGGAAGCAACTGCACCATTGTCTGACTCCGTAGAACTTTGATCAGCTTCTCCAAAGCCATGGAAAATCTATTCAGGATGTTTTAAAAGCTGATGATTATCTTCTACTCACAATGCCTAAATCCTTATCAGTCCTCTACTTTAACATTTACTATCTGTGGTTTAAAGAAGATTTGGGACAGAGTTCAGAGTTGAAGCCATTTTTGTGAAGGTTAACTTAAAACATCTAATTATTTTTAATGAGCTGTTGAAAAATTCTGCAGCTGCTACAGTACACAATTCTTTGGTACAGGAAACATCCTTCATTTGGATAATTTTTGCCCACCCAAACATATAGGAAACTAACATCAGAGAGATACTGAGACAACAAGGTGCAGGGCTGGATGAACACAGCAGGCCAAGCAGCATCATAGGAGCAGAGAGGCTGATGTTTCGGGCCTAGACCCTTCATCAGAAAAGGGGGAGGGGAAGGGGGTTCCGAAATAAATAGGGAGAGAGTGGGAGGCGGATAGAAGAGGGATAGAGGAGAGGATAGGTGGAGAGGAAACAAACAGGTCGAAGAGGCGGGGATGGAGCCAGTAAAGGTGAGTGTAGGTAGGGAGTTAAGAAGGGGATAGGTCAGTCCAGGGAGGACGGACAGGTCAAGGGGGCGGGATGAGGTTGGTCGGTAGGAGATGGAGGTGCGGCTTGAGGTGGGAGGAGGGGATAGGTGGGAGGAAGAACAGGTTAGGGAGGCAGGGACGAGCTGGACTGGTTTTGGGATGCGGTAGGGGGAGGGGAGATTTTGAAACTTGTGAAATCCACATTGATACCATTGGGCTGCAGGGTTCCCAAGCGGAATATGAGTTGCTGTTCCTGCAACCTTCGGGTGGCATCGTTGTGGCACTGCAGGAGGCCCAGGATGGACATGTCGTCTGAGGAATGGGAGGGGGAGTTGAAATGGTTCGCGACTGGGAGGTGCAGTTGTTTATTGCGAACCGAGCGTAGGTGTTCTGCAAAGCGGTCCCCGAGCCTCCGTTTGGTTTCCCCGATGTAGAGGAAGCCACACCGGGTACAGCGGATGCAGTATACCACATTGGCAGATGTGCAGGTGAACATCTGCTTGATGTGGAAAGTCTTCTTGGGGCCTGGGATGGGGGTGAGGGAGGAGGTATGGGGGCAGGTGTAGCACTTCCTGCGGTTGCAGGGAAAAGTGCCGGGTGTGGTGGAGCTGGAGGGGAGTGTGGAGCAGACAAGGGAGTCACGGAGAGAGTTGTCCCTCCGGAAAGCAGATAAGGGTGGGGAGGGAAAGATGTCTTTGGTGGTGGGGTCGGATTGCAGATGGCGGAAGTGTCGGAGGACGATGCGTTGCATCCGGAGGTTGGTGGGGTGGTACGTGAGGACGAGGGGGATTCTTTTTTGGTTCTTATTGCGTGGACGGGGTGTGAGGGATGAGGTGCGGGAGATGTGGGAGACAGAGAGATACTTACTCCTTTGATGTTACTAATAGAAACCTTATGATCCTACCTCTTTAAAGGAATACAACTGCTTTGATAATTTAAATGCAATTTAAATTTTCATACTGTTATCTCATGCTGGACGAGAAAGTTTGCTGAAAATATGGTGCATACAATTTCCCTATCAGATTTCCTCTAGGAAGTAATGGTATTAATGATTCTAGGATGTACACACTGTTTCACTGCTACCAAACCCTGAAATACACCTCGACGTATGTATAATAGCTCATCATTTGTAAAATCTATGTATATATAGTACATTTGCTGCACTCATGCCATCTTCATGTCACTGCCACTGAAATGTAAAAATGAAGACCTAGCAGCAGAATGGATTATACATATTCAAGGTAACTGAATTTTCTGCTTCTGGTGTCTTACTATGCAGTCAGCACACACAAGGTCAATCTTAAAAAAAATTCCCAGACCCATCATCATCATAACAACCATGAGGTTATTAATTGATCCTATCTCATTACAGATTACTAGGTCTAGGATAGCCTGCTCTCGGGTTGGTTCCAGAATGTACTCATCTAAGAAACTGTCTTGAAGACATTATGAATTAATTTTCTAAAATACCTTTGCCAATCTAATTCTCCCATTCTACACGTAGATTAAAGTCACCCATGATTTTTGCAGTACATTTCGTTATATGCCCCACTTACATTCTTCCTTTACGCTCTATTCACTTGTTAAGGGGTCAATAAACTACTCCCACATAGGACTTTTTCACTTTTTTATCTGGCAGTCAATTAGCTTAGTTGGCTGAACTGCTGGTTTGCCATGCAGTGTAACGTCAACAGTGCAGGTTCAATTCTTGTCGCAGCTTGAGGTCCTTCCTTCTCAAGCTCTCCTCTCACCGGAGTTCTGGTGGCCCTCAGGTTATCTCTAAAGACAGCAGCACGATTGTCCTTGGGGACAATGGCGATTTTATTTCTTATCTCTACTAAAACTGATCCTACATCATGATCTTTCAAATTAAGCTCATCTTTCAGTACTGAACTAATGCCATCCTTGATTAACAGAGTGATTCCACCTGCTTTCCCTAGTCTGTCATTTCAATATGTCAAATGCACTTCCACATTCAGGTCCCAGCTCTGATCACCTTTCAACCCCTGCAATACCCAACAGGTTATACACATTTACCTCCTACTGTGCTATCAATTCATACTTTTGTTACAAATGCTTAAAACTATTTTTACTATCCCTGGCCTTATGTACTAATGCACTTATATTTGTACATTTTATCCCTTCCTGCCAAACTCTTAATTATTACCCAAACTGCTGCCCTGCTCCATCGCTTTGCTCTTACCCTATACTTTGCCATATCACCACTCACTTGAATCCTTTCCCCTACCTAATTAGGTGACAGAATTCTGGTCCCAGCATGGTTCAGCCCCCACTTTCCAAAATACTGGTGTCAGTGCATAAAGGAATCAAAACATGCCCCCAGCACCAATCTCTGATTAATCTCTGGTCTTATTTACCCAATGTTTAATTGCCTGTGATTCAATTAGTAATCTAGATATTACTGCCAAAGATTAGCCTCTAACTGCTCATACTCACTCCTTCCCTAGCTCTACTCATGTTGTTGGTACTTATATGGACCATCATCACTGGATTCTCCCTTTTAGTCTAGTTCATTTGACTCAAAAGGCAAAGCATTACCAGAAGATTGTGGATTCAATCCCTATGCCAAAGCAGAAAAAAAATTTAAATTTATACTCCAGTTCAGCACTGTATTAAACTGATGTTCTGCATGCTAGCTTAGGCGGATTTAAAAGTTTGTATAGCACTTCCCTTTACCTGAAATTGCAAATGAATCGAATAGCCAGTTCATCTATTTGTATAGTTTTGCTTTATATTATTATGGCCGAGGTAGGTAGATTTGTGATAAGCAAGGAGTTGGATGGTTTTTGAAGAGAGGGAGGAATATGGAATAATCAGACCAGCCATGATTTTAACAAATAGCAGAAAAGGCTCAATGGGCTGAGTGGCTTACTTCTGCTACCAATGTGCATGTTTGAATGTTCCAACTGTAAGTTCCTCTTGAGGCCAGAGGATGTCCTGAACTCAGGTTGGACAGTTGGGTCAGGATAGTTTGGGGACTATAGCTGCCTCAAGAGAGTGACTGGGGATTGGGGTCTGTGTCATGTTCATTCAGTCGTGCTGAAATTTTGACAAGTCACATCAAAATTTATTATTGTAAATTGCCAGGCTTTTATATCTAGGCAATTCCTACACGTGTGACTTACGTTAGAGAAAGCTGCACTGAATCCCTGACAGCACAAATCAGTCAATGGAGAGTCTAAACTTCCTGGGCAAGTACAGAGTGTATGTGCCACCCAAACCTGCTACAGGAACCTGACTCATAATATAGCTTTAGGTCCAGATTTCACTGGTCTGGACCTCAGAGGAATTGGGTTATTATACTTCGGGTAACAACTGGACAAACACAATCTTGCATGCAACTCCAAAACACAATATTTAGTAAACAATTATGGGCACTGACCTGTATCAGGTACACTGCACAGTTTGATCAGAATGTGAATAGAACTATCAGGAAGAGAGAATAAAAATAGGCTGGCAAATACAGAAAATAGACATTCAGATCAGAGGACTTGTGTCAGGTGATTGGTAAGCATTTTACAGTAATAATTCGTATAATGTCAGAATGGTTACAAGCACAGGAGGACGTTATTTGGCCTAAAAAGTCTACCTGAAGGAACAATTCACCTAGCAACCCCCTACAACAGTCTTGTAAACTGTTTGTCAAAAGATAATAATTTAATTCCCTTAGCTGAGAAAATTTTAAACAAAATTATAAAATGAAGAGCTGAGTAAAGATGAGTAAATGCTTATCACCTTAAAGAGATTCTAAGTATTGAAATTTCTCAATGATTTACTGTAAGTGATTAGCCAAGTATGACTCAAGTAGAAATGAAGTTAAAAACACAATAATCAACTAAATGTCCAGATCACAAACTCTTTCTGGTCTGTTGGGCATTTTAGTTTCTTGGTAATTCTTGACAATTTATAGTACAGCTATTTTTGAAAATCAATTCAAAGTTTACAGCCAAATGTTAGCCTTCAAATGCAATTAAAAATTCCCTCATCCAAGCTACTCAGAGCAGGGTGATGAAGGTTAAATTTTGGATCAAAGTGGATTGGCTACAAGATAGATCAATCTCACTTAGTTTCACTAATTTTTGGCTAGCATATGTGAAAAGGATAGAAATTGCAATTTTGCAAAATTTAGTGAATAACGTGACAGTTGTGGATATTCAACCAATGCGTCAATCTAATGCCAAACACAAGTTTATTTTATACATTATGTTGTGGGCAAGATACCATTACAAGAAATATTAATAGAACCAGGTAGGACATTCAAAAGATAGAGACAAAAAGAGAGAAACTATAAATAATATTCAATAAAGGTATATATTTAAGAAGGATCTGAACTTTAAAGCAATTTTTCACTTCAAGGCTACATTCAACCTACAACTGAAAAATATTCCATCCACTTTTATTAATTTACAACAGCCTAAACAACATTTCTTTGTTTGGCATTGAGACACCAAAACGATACCATGTTCACTTTTTCCCCCTATCAAGTAGGAGGAAATGTACCATATTTCTTTTCAGATTACAAGACTTTAAATGGTAGAAGACACTGAGCCAACTTAGTTGTATCAAGGCAAGTTCCGCTCTCCAGTGAAATATATAACCTATTTCAACTTTGACTCCCAGTAAATTCAAAAGCTCTCAAACTTATTTGGTTGAAGACCCCCTTTCCAAACAGATTAGTAATCAATGAAATCCCACCTAAATTACACTATGTACTAGTCATATGAAACTTCTACATGCAAAAAAGACTGTTTTAATAATGTTAAGAAAACAAGTACTTACTTAAGATACAAGTGATTTATGGCGAGCTTGCTTTCTACAGCAGAGTCTACTGTTGTATGCACTGCTCCTATGCCCCGCATATGATAGCTCTACCCACTCCCAACTTTTGGCTTGGATTTTACATTATTCCAGAGCTCTGAAAGTCTCTGCAGATCCATACTTGAGAAACACTAATAACTAACGCCAACCCAGCAACGGGATTCATTTTCTTCCTTTCGGTCCAGATGACATGTTTAAGAAACAATAATGGTATGTGTGAATAACTGCGACATCAAATTTCACTTCACCCAAAGCACATAAAAGTTTTATACAGTACCTAAAAAATTCTATAAAATAAAAATTAGTCATTAATCAAGACAAAATGTTTCTGCCAAACAGAGTCAAATTTTACTTCACTGTCCCTGACAGGATTACTATCTCACTCATAGTTATCTGTCAATACTGTTCTTGAACCAGCCACATGCACTGTTAAACTAACTGTATTACTCACTATCAGTTTTTTTCCCCCTTCCAATCATGGGTACAGACCAGCCACTACTGCAGTTTGCCACTATCACAACAAAAAAAATGTTCGAAAGAAATTTTACAATTCTCATTTATTTTTACATTAGTGATTTTTCCTCTATTTACAGCACTAAGGAAACTCAAACATTCAAACATAGTTTGTTACTGGTTTGTCTTACCTGGAAGTGAACTCTTGGACATGGTTTAAGAGGGAGGCTAGAACCTATTCTGCGAATAATACTGCGAGATGAACCATATGGCTTGTTTGACCAAAACGGCTACAAATGGAAAAAATTAACAATTAGAGAATGGAATTTATGAGAAGTTAATTTTCAGCTACAAGAGAATGCTTGAATTACTAATAAATAAGTTGTTGTGAGATTATATTTTGCTTTAAGAGCATATGATTTATCTACAAGTCCAAAAACAACAAATGCCATGTAAAAATAAAGAATAACATACACAAGTTTAAAGCCAGTATCTGCAATCATGACCAAAAAAACCCATCAATTGTTATAGAAACTCATCTGATTCAGTTCCCTCTAAGGAAGGAAATCTATCATATTTATGCAGCCTGGCCAACGTGTGACTCGAGACCCACAGCAGGTTGACTCTTAACTGCCCTCTGAAATGACCCAAGTAAGCTACTCAAGGGCAACAGGGATGGATAACAAAATCTGATCTTGGCAGTAATATCACATCCACGAAAGAATAAATTTAAGACAGGACTGTAATCCTGGATGAAAAAATGCTGGAAATCACAGCAGGTCAGGCAACATTCATAGAGAGATAGTAAGCTAATGTTTCAAAGGTCTCTACAGTAACTTCATGTCTCTAACGAAATGTCATCTAGACTTGAAACATTAGCTTGCTCTCTCTCTCCATGGATGCTGTTTGACCTGCTATACTTTCCAGCAATTTTTGCTTTCAGTACAGATTCCAGCATGCAGTAATTTGGTCCTGAAATCTGGATCCTAAGTTCATGTTCAGACCTTTGTACATAAATTTCGATTACTTATGCAACCTCAGAGGGAAATTATATCTTGAACTAAAAGTACAAATCAGGAAAAAAAAAATTAAACTTACTGAATCCATGTCTATTCCAGCATATTCCAACATCATTCTAATCATCTGAACGAGGAATAATAACATTAAAGCCAAATCACAGCTTTGCAATCCACATAACTTGGGAGTCTGGAAGCTTTATGCAGTCCCATTGTTCAGCTGAAGGAAAGATACAATATAATCAGACAGCTACATAGAGATAATTTAAAACAAAAATCATGAGAAACATTTAAAAATGTTTTATTTTCAACCAAGAAAACAGCTCAACTCAGAACAAATGCGAACTTTTATACTATATAATACCACTGGGCATTAGAGTAGCACACAAACCCACATCAACCCTACGACAACTGCTCACCCAAACCATAGACACACTACCCACTATGGACATGACCAATGTCGTATACAAGATTCCCTGATGAGACTGTGACAAACACTACATCGGACAAACAGGAAGGAAATTAACAACAAGGGTACATGAACACCAATTGGCTACAAAAGACACGACCAATACTCACTCATCTCTATCCACGTGGATAAGGAGAACCACCAATTCGATTGGAACAGCACCAAGATCCTGGAACAAGCAAAGCAGAGACAGACACGGGAGTTCCTAGAAGCCTGGTACTCCACGAACAAAGCCATCAAACACATAGAACCTGACCCCATATACACTCCATTGTGAAGGAAAACCGGAAGGGAGGTAATCCAGCTCAACAGACTCCAGAGTTTAAAAACCAGGCAAGAAAACACAATGGGGCTTCGTTGGAGGTTGCACTGATGATGTTACCCAGCAGGGTAATGAAACGACTGCGGAACAACAACGAACCAGCTTGGCAAGCCAACTAACTACAACATCCACAGGCCGAGCTACAAATCTACTCCAAAACCTTAGAGATACTATATAAGCCAACAGCAGTTGAGTAAAAAAGTCTATCTGAAGGTACTGCATTGCTTCGGTAACATCCTTGTAAAATGGTGCTGCTTTGGTCCTTAACTCCCTATTAACACCACAGAAAGCTAAACTGCTTCAATGGTGCTAAACCTTACTTTTCAAGAAGTAATTTGGTTGTTCATTTGTGGAGTTATGGTATTGGCATTATATTCAGTACATTGAAACAAAATGAGATTAAAGCAAAGCTCAGCCCCTAACAGAGCTGATCCAGCACACACATAAAATTGGCACCTATCCAACAATGTGGTAAGTTGCCGAGGTATGTCCTATGCACAAGCAAGACAAATCCAACCCAGTCAATTACTGTCCCATCAGTCTACTCTCGACCATCGGAAAAGTGACGGAGAGCGTCATCAACAGTGCCATGAGGCAGCACTTTGCTTAGTAATAACCTACAAACAGATGCTTATTTTGGGTTCTACCTGGGTCATTCAGCTCCTGACCTCTTCAGAGGTCTAGTTCAGACATGGATAATATAGCTGAAATCCAGAGCAGAGGCAACAACAACTGACCTTAACGCCAAGACCACATTAAATCAATTGTGACATCAAGCAGCTTAGCAAGACTGGTGTCAATGAAAATTAGAGAAAACTGGTTAGTGCTGTATCTGACACAAAGGGAGATGATTTCGGTTGTTAGAAGTGAAGCACCTTACTCTTGGACATCTCCACAGGAGCTTGTCAGGAGAGAGTCCGAGACTCAAACATCTTCAGCTGCTTTATCAGCAGCCTTCCCTCCATCATAAAGACAGAGGTTGGAATGTTTGCTGATGATTGCAATGTTCTTGACTCTCCAGACACTGCAGCAGTCCATGTCTAAATGCAGCAAGACCTGGACATTATCCAGGTCTGGGCTGACAAATAACATTTGCACCACATAAATGCCATGCCAAGACCATCGCTAGCAAGAGTGAATCTAACTATTTTGCCTTGACAGTCAATATTATCATTATTGAAAGTCCCAATAGGGGGCATTCCATTGACCAGACACTAAACTAGGCTAGCCAAATAGTTACTATGTCTGCAAGAAAAGGTCAGTAGCTAGGAATCCAGCAGTGAGAAACTGACTCCTCAAAGCTTGTCCAACATCAACAAGGCTCAAATAAGGGGTTTGATGAAATAGTCTCCACCTGCCTGGACAAGTACATCTCCAATAACACTCAAGCAGCTTGACATGATCCAGGACAAAGCTGCATACTTGATTAGCATCACATTCACAAACATACACTTCCTCCACTACCAACATTCAGTAGCACTTCACTAACACTCCCCAGACTGCACCTTCCAAACCCATGACCACCACCAGCTAGAAGGAAAGGGCAGCAGATACATGAGAACACCACCACCTGCAAGTTCCCCTCCAAGCCACTCATTTGAAAAAAAAAAAAATCGCCACTCTTTCAATGTCATTAGGTTAAAATCCTGGAGCTAAGTCCCTAACAGCATTGTGGATTTACCTAGGCCAAACAGGTTCCAGCAGTTCAAGAATGCACTCACCACCATCCAAAGGACAACTACAGATGGGCAATAAACATTGGAGTAGGCAGCAACACCTACAGTCCATGAGTGAATTAAAAAAGCTCAGTATGAAACCATCCTAGCATTCAATGTTCACAAAAGGTATTCTATAATACTTTACATCTTTAAAATCTGTATTTGCATATTAAGATAGCTTTGCTTTTTAAAGTTTAAGCTCATGGTTTTCAATGTCTGCTGTTTATGTTATATACTTATCCCTTTTTAACACTGTTGAATGTTCAGAATGAGTTCTAGACTGGTCTGGACACAATTATAAACGTCATACTTAGGGCTAGCCAGCATGAAGATTTGTAAGTGATGATGATCACCTCAGAATTCAGAGAACCAAAGAACAACGAACACAATGAACCCTCAGTCATGCAATCCAAACAATAAAAGGTATATTACAGCTAGCTATATAAGCAACCAGATGCAAATCAGCATGACATTCAATTTCTTCCAGCCATTTTCAAAGGGTTATGTTCCACATTGGAGGCTTAATGAAGTTTTACTTCAGTATCTGGTATAAATTATTAATCTCCTCAAAGTATTCAGCAACAGAAAAATTAAACAAAAAATTAACATGAATCCAAATCCCTTAGTGAACATAAAGGTGCTGTTAGTAGAGAATTCATAAATTTTGGAAGTCGATTTGCCTAATGATGCACCTCACACCCATTACTTGGTTTCTTTTGTCAGTGATATAACGGAGGCACCAATATGCTCAATCCCAGCCGAATAGCATTCCAGACACTTGAAGCAATAATAATTACTAAATGCGACTATCAATGTTGGTTTCATTGCAGTACAAGCAAATAGCGAGATGCGAATTCGTGTTGACAAGCGGCGCGTGCAATAACGTTTATTTGACACAATCGGTACACAATGCAATTTTAGAAAAGCATTTTTAGAATCTTGTAGATACGGGGTTCCCCTGAATTCCTGGATAATGTGATTGATCGTTCAGATATCAAAAAAAAATCCAATGTACAGAAATAACAGAGCCACCTTTTCTCGCCACAGAGAACAATGTGCACAAGGTTTCACATGATTGAATGAATCACTGGGTCAGAGTCACGCAGCCCGGCCTGGAAGCTGTGTCAATGCGAGTAAACCCCTACAGTAAACAGGCTTAGCTCTCACTGGTTACTGGCAGACCCCGGTGTCAATGAGATATTCTCCGGTCCGCTCAGATCCTCTCCTCCCGCTACAGCCCAGTCTGGTCCGGTCTTCCCCACCTCCCTCCCAGGGCCGCTCCGCTCTCCGGCTCCAGCCCCGCCCCCTCTGTACCCGCCCTTGGGTCCCTACCCGCTCTGCCCCCACCCTCCGGCCCCTGCCCTGTCCGCTCTGTGTCCCCCACCCTCTGCCCTGTCCGCTGCCCGCTCTGTGGCCCCAACCCTCTGCCCTGTCCGCTCTGTGGCCCCCACCCTCTGCCCTGTCCCCTGTCCGCTGCCCGCTCTGTGGCCCCCATCCTCCGGCCTCTGCCCTGCCCGCTCTCCTCCGGTCCCGGCCCGCTCTGTAGCCGCCCTTGGGTCCGTGTTCCGAAAGAGCGCGCGGACACCCATTTCCGGTGCGGCCCTAACCGCCGCCGTCGCGCGGTAAATATTTACCACAATCCCAGCCCCGTATAATGGCGTGTGTTTAACAATCAGCACGGCTTTACTTCACTATTACTCACAGCTTCTTCTAAAAATTAAAATAAACGGCGGCACGTTCAAATCCAAACCGGCAAGGTTGCCGGCTGCGGGGAGGGGGGGGGTGGGGCAATAAGACGCCGTGCGATAGGCTGTGCCGTGCGAGTGGATGTGAGCCAATGAGGTGGTGGGGTTTGAGTGGGTGCAGGGTTAGGAACGGGGACAGGAGAGAGAGTGTCGAGCGGACAGCTCCGGCTTGTGTCGGTGGAAAGCGGCCATCGCTCATGTCTCACTGAGGCCTTGTGTCGGTTTATAGCGCATGGAGCTTGTGGGCGAGTGATCGATAGGCGCGGGGTTATTGTTGAGGAGTCAGACAAAGTGGTGAGCGGGCGGGAATAACAAGGTAGGCGAAGGCCTGTGCTCGGCACCGGGGCCCGGGCGGCCTCTGAGCTCCCACATTTAAACTCTCCCTCGCCGGCCCCCCCGTTACCCTCCCTCGTGCTCATCAGGGTTTTCATTTCATTTACACACCGTCTTGTTTTAGCCGGCATTTTTAAAAATTTTTCTGGAATTCAGGCCGGCACTTAGATGTGCTTAGAATCTCACCTCTCTCCGTTTAATGTAATTTTTCGGCAGCAATATAAAACTGGACTCGAATCATTAACTGTTTTCTCGCACTACAGATGGTGCCTGTCCTGCTGAGTTTCTCCCAGCAATTTCTGTTTTTGGTATCGATAGGAATGCTTGAGCCAACGGGTTTTGATTTTTTTTTTCTTTTGCGATTTACGTGTGTGTTATAGTCTTTGATTCACTGCTGCTGGTTTACAATGCATAAGTCCGGTTTTGTATTGCATAGGATACGCAAGGCTTTGATGATCTTACCATTTTTCCATGAACCCCATGACCTTGGATATGGCACTAGAATGAGAACATTACATCACAGAAGAAGGCCTGTCAGCAGTTAGTTTCACTCCACTTTGACATAATCCATTTTGATAAAACATGTAAGGTTGAGTGGTGACCTTATTGAGGTTTATAAAATCATGAGGAGCATTTATAAGGTGAATGACAAGGGTCTTTTCCTGAGGATGGGGGACTTCAAAACTAGGGGACATATTTTTAAGAGATAGTAAGAACTGCTGATGCTGGAGTCAGAGATAACAGTGTGGAGCTGGAGGAACACAGCAGGCCAGGCAGCATCAGAGGAGTAGGAAAGTTGACATTTCGGGTTGGGACCCTTCTTCAGAAATTTTAAAGCTGAGAGGAGAAAGTTTCAAAAGGACCTGAGGGGCAACTTTTTTTTACACAGAGTGCTTTTTGTGTGGAATGAACTGTCAGAAAAAGTCGTGGATACAGGTACAGTTACAGTATTTAAAAGACATTTGGATAAGTTTTGGATACGAAAGGTTTGGAGGGATATGGGCCAAACACAGGCAGGTGGGACTAGTTTAGTGGACTGGTTGAACTGAAGGGTCTGTTTCACACTGTATGACTCTATACTGAAGTAACTGCTCTTGATCTCTGGTGCTTCAGCTGTGGTTTTTTTTTTAAACAAGTGATCACTTAGACTTATAGGGAGTCGGTCAGCTCATTTAGCTGGATGGTTGGTTTGCAATGCAGAGTAAAACCAACAGGATGGATTCAATTCATGCACTGCTTGAGGTCCATGAAGGATTCACTTTCTCAACCTCTTTCCCCTTGCCTGAGGCATGGTGACCCTCAGGTTAACTTGCCTCCAGTCGTATTTCTGTGATAAGAAAGTAGCCTTATTGTCTGGTAAGACTGTGGTGACTTTATTTGGGCTCTAGGTACTGCAATGGTTATTTTCTAGTTTTGGTGTGGTGTTGTTGTGTGAATCCTGTAGCTTCACTTGGGTTTAATTCTTTTGAAAACGTATGAAATGGCACTTGCATTTTGTTATCTCGTTGTTCGTGAATGAATTTACTTAAATGTTCACTAACATGCAAAACACTGCTACATGATCAATCAGACAGTGTTGTCTACATTGATAGCTTAAATTAAGTTTAACTGAATATTGAATATGTGTAATTTGGAAATTATTGCTCAAATTTAACTAAATGTTATTTATGTATTTCATTTGTCATTGGCCTAATGTGTACTTATTTTGCAGGGAATTCTTGAAAATTGCTTAAAACATATGGCATAGTGGATGGTGGCACAATGAGTGGGGAGCCTGATGCCCTAGCAGTAGTAAACCAGCTGCAAGATTTAGCATCTGACCCCTTAAACAGGCGAGCAATTGTTCAGGATCAGGGATGTCTGCCTGGGTTAATCCTGTTCCTAGACCACTCAAATCCTCAAGTTGTTTACTCTGCACTATTGGTAAGTGTTAACTTATCTGCTCAATGTAGCCCTGTTTTTAGAATTGACTATTGATACAAATTCAGCATTTACCCAAAGATCTTGTCTATATCACTGTATGTATACATGTTTATAGTTGATTTACAACTTTGGTTACTTAAGAGCTTTATTGGCACAAGTGGGGGGAAAAAAACTCAAATGGGATTGTTGCGTTTTGTCACTTTGCATTATTCTGAAATGAGTCTCAAAAAGTATTAAGATAGGTAAGTCCCGGATCTTGATGGGATCTACCCTGGTTATTGAGGGAAGCAATATAACAAATTGCTGGAGCAATGACAGAAATCTTTGGGACCTCACCTGTAACAAAACAGGATACAGAGGACTGGAGAATAGCCAATATTGTCCCATTGTTTAAGAAGGGTAGCAGGGATAATCCTGGAAATTATAGGCCTGTGAGTCTCACATCAGTGGTAGGGAAATTATTGGAAAAGATTCTTGGGGACAAGATCTATTCACATTTAGAAGCAAATGGACTCATTAGCGATAAACAGCATTGTTTTATGTGGGGGAGATCGTGCCTCACTAACTTGATCAAGTTTTTTGAGGAGTTGACGAAGATGATTTGAGGAAAAGCGATTGTTGTCTACATGGACTTCAGTAAAGCCTTTGACAAGGTCCCTCAAGCAGACTGGTACAAAAGGTATCAAATCATATCAGGGTGAACTGGCAAGATGGAAAGAGAACTGGCTTAGTCAAAGGAGACAGAGAGTGGTGGTGGAAGGATGCTTTTCGGAATGGCAGGCTTTGACTAGTGGTGTTCCACAAGAATCCGTGCTGGGACCTCTGCTGTTCGTGATCTGCATAAATGATTTGGACAAAAACATAGCTGGTCTAATTAGTAAGTTTGCGGCCAATGCAAAGATTGGTGGATTGTGTAAAATGAGGAGAATTGTCAGAGGATACAGTAGGATTATAGATCAATTGGAGGCATGGGTAGAAAAATGGCAGATGAAGTTTAATCTGGACAAATGTGAGGTGATGCATTTTGGAAGGTCAAGTACAGTTGGAAATTTATATAGTGAATGGCAGAACCCTTAGGAATATTGATATCTAGAGGGATATGGGCGGGCAGGTCCACTGATCACTGAAGGTGGCAGCACAGGTAGTAAAAAAAGGCTTATGGCATGTTTGCCTTCATTGGAAGGGGCATTGAATATAAGGATAGGCAAGTTATGCTGCAACTTTATAGAACTTTAGTTAGGCCATGCTCGGAATATTGCATAAAGTTCTGGTCGCCACACCACCAGAAGGGTGTGGAAGCTTTGGAGAGGGATCAGAAAACGTTTACTAGGGTGTTGCCTAGTATGGGGGATTTTGACTATGATGAAAGGTTGGATAGACTGAGTTTGTTTTCACTAGAATGCAGGAGGTTGAGGGGTGACCTAATAGAAGTTTATGAGATTGTGAGTGGTATGCATAGATTGGAGAGTATGAAGCTTTTTCCCAGGGTGGAGGGGTCAATTACTTGGGGACACAGGTTCAAGGTGTGATGGGTGAGGGGGTGATGTTTAAAAGATGTGTGAGGCAAGATTTTCACATAGTGTAGTGAGTGCCTAGAACACGCTGCTGGAGGTGGTGGAAGCAGACACAATAGCAGCATTCAAGAAGCACCTGGACGAATACATGAAAAGGTAGGGAATAGAGGGATACGGATCCTGTAAGTGAAGGCAGTTTTAATACGGAAGAGCAAAGTGTGGTAGCGCAGGCTTTGGAGGGCTGAAGGGCCTGTTCCTGTGCTGTATTATTCATTGTTCTTGTTCTTTGAGTCACAAGTTAATAGCTGGGTTATCTGTTAGATTCAGTAAATATCAGCTCACTCTTCTCTGTTGTAATTCCTGCAAAAATTTGCAATTGTAACAATTATTGAACTTGAATATTTACTAAAATAGAGAGATATTACCAAAGTGTTTCATCTTACACCCATCAGGTCAATTGCAAGTATCCCAAATTTTAAATGATCGCAACAATTTGTACTGGAAAAAAAGAGTTCTGATTATTTGGAAAGTCATCTCTGGCTGTGCCGTTGCCATAGAGAAGGCAACTGGGAACCAAATCCTTTCTAACATTCCGGTTACATAAAAAGCGCAAGGCTCGAACACATTCATTTTTGCAAGGAATGAGTCCCTGCATAATGTATGTTGCTTCAAGCAAGTGTAAATGATCTGTTTTCCTTTAATTAGTGGTTAGTGCAAAATTAGTACAGTCAGTAATGTTAAGCAGTACAGACTGTACTCTACCAGCCAATGCTGGCAAATCCAGAAAAAAAAACAAGAGGTGTGATTTTGCAGTTGGTAAGTCCTTAATTGTCTGCTCTAAGGAGAGTGATACCCAAAATTAAACACGATCTATTGAAAGCCTAACCAGTGTTTGTTTATAAATGCTTGCCTTAATTTCCTTGATTAGTCTGTGTCTCTATTTGTAAAGTCAAATAACATTGTTTTTTCCTAACAGCTTGGTCAACTTCTGGCATTTTTGTTGATTGCGGTGTTCTTGGACATGAATCATTTGAATCTCAGCAAAGGAAACAGCAAACAATTTTAGAGGGTTGTTCAATGAAGAGAGATTGAATAGAACAGGCCAGTGCTTGATTTTAATTTGGTTTATTGTCATGTGTACATAAGTACAGTGAAAAGCTTTGTTGGCGAGCGATACAGGCAGATCATAATAAGCAACGAATTACAGATCATTGGGTGAAAAAAACTTGAACAGAGTAAGGCATACAGGTTACGC